ACTCACTAAAACCCTTTACTCACCGCCAAGGTGGTGGTTGGACTTGCACCGCGGTCATTTCTGTCCTACTGTGCCCTCGTAATTTCACTCCCTCATTATCCCTGCATATTCAATTAATTCCAGAAGAATCTTGAGGGGAGTTCGCATGATCTGGTCTGGTGGAATTTCAACTCCACCCGGGAGTCTTCGTCTACCCGTTGCACATGTCGTGCAGTCAAACATAACATACATACAATGGTTTCGTCCTCTAATTTGCAACCCCTGCAGGTCGGTTGATCGCTCAGTCCTATCCTGAAGAAGTGTTTTTTGTCCTGTTTAAAAGGCCACTATCCTCCTTATTTTTTGCCTCCTGCTGAGATCTAGAAGTTCATTTTTATGTACTGGTTGTGGAGGTCCCACCAACTGCTTTGCGGTATGGAATCGCGGTGTATCCTCCCAGTACTTTCTGTGTTGTTCCAAGATCTACTGCCCAACTGCCACCCTAACTTGGCCATGAGATATACCACAAGCAGGTTTTTGGTTGATCAGTGGTTCCTCGGTCCCTGCCTTAGCAAGTTCCGCAGCAATCTCGTTTTCTTTCTCCTGTTCGTACCAGTTGCCCAAGTGAGTTTTACTATGTTTGGGCTCCCGGCCAATGTGGTAAGTTCTTTTATACAATCTAGTACACATTGTGATCCAATTGTGTACGACAGGACGGAGACATTACCGGTAATGTGCCAAAAACTCATTCAAAATTACCTCAAAAGGATTGCGGCCTGTGGGAGGTCCCGTGGAGGATATGTAAATGATATTGTTTTTGACGTATAATGGCAAGGTTTAATCTTTATATTGCATTCAAATTTTCGTCTCCATCTGAATATTTTGTGTGCTTTTTTAAACTTACTTTTCCAAACATAAAATGAACAACCCTGTGTTAAACGGGTGTATAATAATTGACGTGGGGGACAAACGTAAAATGTTGAAAGTATACCTGTCGGAAGTGTTCGATGATCATGACAGGTCTCCAAAACTGGTCTTTGAAGCAAACAATGTGCACTTCAAAATATTACGATCAGAAATACTATATGCCTTGGAAACTATGAAATCCGGAGCTTATGATAAACTTATGCTGAAACTTATAAACTTACGGTAAGGGAAAAATTCCTAAGCAATGGCTATCACCTTTTGTGCTTATACCTCATGTACACTTTTGTGCTCATACTCAAGCAACCGAATCCAAGAAGACAAATTTGAGACTACCGAACCATCGCACTTATGAGCCACACCTTAAAGTTCTTCAGAACACACCTTGAACTTCAATGCAAAAATATGAAATGAAGGAAAGAAGCAGACCAACGCCAGGCTCCAGAGAGTGCCACAATTTAATATCTAATGAAATGAAAGGTTTCAATCCCAGATCCGTCATGTATATCAAAGATGAAAACGGAGACACTATAGTCAACGAAAGTAAAATAATGGAAATCTGGAGAAAGTATTTCAATGATCTTCTGAATATGGAACGGGAAGAACAGTACATATGAAACACATACCTGACTGCGAACTTACCAGTGGAAAAGCCAAGCTACGCTGAAATACAAAGAGCTATAAATAAGCTAAAAGCTGCAAAGCACCTGGCTCCGACAATATACCATCAGAACTACGCAAATATTATCGACTAAATGGCGAAAACGTATAATGGTTCCCAGCCATAAAAAAGGAGACAAGTCGAAGTGCGTATGCCTTGTCATCCCTGTTATTTAACATCGTCCTGGAAAGAGCCATAAGACGAGCGGACATAAACACCGAACTCCTATCAACTGAAGGCCCCAAACTAATACTGGCTTATGCAGATGACATTGACCTGATCGGTAACACTATTCTAATGGTAAAAAAATTATTCAATAAAATAGAAGGAGCAACTAGCGAAATGGGCCTAATGATAAATGAAGAAAAAACTAAATACACTTGTGTAAACCGACTCGGAAGAAGAGACAGAATAGGACAAAACGTATCAATAATCACGCTCAATTTTGAAAAAGTGGAACGTTTTAAATATTTAGGCGCAACAATCACAGTAGATAATGATATCACCGAACAAATAAAAGGAAGAATCCAAGCCATACATCGATGTCGATACTCCCTAAACAATCTCCTTAAGTCAAAAAACCTGACACAGATATCTAAAGTAAAAATATGTAAGTCTTATTAGACAAATATGGATGTGAAACGTGGACAATGACTAAAGCTAACCAAGAAAAACTCTGCTTGATTGATCATTGCTTTGTATTTCTTTCAGTTCAATTTTTTCTCGACTTTTTTCTGCTTCTGCTCGACATTTTGTCATGCGACGATTAATCCATAAGTTTCTTTTGTGTCAACTCGATTTTCACTCAGTTTAGTAGTCGGTTTTTTCAGAATTTCGTATTTCTTAGTTTGTGGTGAAGTTGTCCAGATTTCTTTTGCTGTTGCTGTTTGTTGTTTATTGCTTCTTGTGATTGAACTGTAAGTCCGTGATGCTTATTCCTAGTTCTCAAGGGGATGCATTTGTCTAAATGGCGCAATTGTAGATTCTAATTGTCCAATTTTAAGCACTAGACTGGCAATATTTTTGTGAAGGTGGTAACTTGATCTCCGCATTTCCGTCATGTCAAAACACAGGACTGAAAACTTGAGAACAAACTCAAGGTTTTCAAGAAGGCAAAGACCTAAAAGGACGTTGATTTTTACCAATCATGAGTTTATGTAAATTTTAAATCTGATGATGGCGCTGTTGTCTCGGCGAAACATAATGAAATAAACAATGTTTCAAAATTCTTATTTCACACTTTGACTGAGACCCACCCAGGAAAGATAAGAATATCATAACAAGTACACAGTCAGGAAAATAAATCAGAATATATATTTGTTTGTCACATGCTGTTGAGATCCACATTTTGCAATTTTGGCACAAAAAAGTTAGTTAACATTTCATTATAGCGAACATCACTCACTGTTAATGCTTGCGCAATTGGATTTTTGAAGAAAAATGGCCGATGAGGCCTCCAGCCTACATTGCACACCAAACAGTGACTCTTTTTGGATGCACCTGTTTCTCAACATCATGAATCTTCTCTCTCATTTCGTTTCGGAACCCCAAAACAGACGATTTTCTCGTTAACGGAGCGCTCAAGATGAAAATGTGCCTCGTCACTTGAGATAATTTTTGTTTGAAAACCACCATCCAATTGTCGTTGTTCCAAAATCTAATCAACAAAGGCTCTTCGTTGCGCATGGTCTTCGGACATGTAATGGCCTTTTTTTAAATCTCAAATCATGACACTACAAATGGCGCGCAATTCAAATCCGTCGTCTTTTTCTCGATTTTGCATAGTTGATGGCCTGAGTTCGGGCGGAGGTCTTTTGTTCAAATTGCTTTGTTGGAGTTCTAGATATAGTATTTTTTGAATTAAAAACATCTGCACAATTCTCGCTTTCCGAACTGTTGTTATCAGGTGACTTGATCCCTGTAAATACCGACCCCTGTAAATCGTTTTCATGGGCTGGTTCTTATTGATGGCAAGTATCGCTATTTTGTTGTTTGTTTATGTTTGTAGCTCCGAAAATTTTTGAATTTCACTCTTAGATGTTCGGTTCGTTAGATTTATTTCTAATGAATGGCTTCTTGGTTTTTGTCTATTTCTGCCAACTCCTCCGTTCTTCTCGCTTTTAGTATGACTGCCACCACTTTCATGTTCCATTCTGGTTTTTAAGTAAGTTCTAGGAGTGGATAGAACACTAAAATATGACACACCAAAAACGTGTGTACACCATATAGGTTTTCATGGAACGTGTTAGTGATTATTATTTTGTCTTTATCTCTTTCTTCTGCTTTACTTTTGTTTTTGATAGCTATGATCTGGTTATACCTTCTTTCCGTTTCAATTTACTCATACTTTAGTTCTTCTCTATTATATCTTCGGCCAATTCCTCATAGTAATTTTTCAGATCTTTTCTTATCAATTTCCTTGTTTCTCTTGTTTGTCTATAGCCATCAATTGCATATTTGCCCTCTTTATACATTGGTCGTCGTTCTTCTACTTTTTCTTTGGATTCTTTTGATATTTTTCTGGTCTTTGTTTGTTTTTTTTCTGCTACCACCGTTGTACTACCTATGTTTTCGTTGTGGCCACTCTTGTGTTCTTTTCCTGGTCGTTTATTTTTAGTGATGTATTTTCGGTCTTTTCAAAATAATAACGTTTTTCTTCCCGACATTTCTCTTTTGCTGTTTCAGGGTACTTGTATCTATGCCTGATCTCCCTGTCTTTCTGCCCGTTCTCCTTTACGCCCATTATCTCTAGCTATTGTTTACTTTATTTTTGATGTCCCAGTCATCGACGTCTGGAGTGAAAATAGGAAGAGAAGTTCGCCAGGGCTGTGTTCTCTCACCCTTCATATTTAACTCATACTCAAACTAAATATTTTAGGAAGGTTCAGAGAATACAGAATATGGAGTGAAAGTGAACGGTGTTCTCCTGAAGACGCAATAGGATCATTGGACCCCATCTAAACACGAAAATGGTGCAAAAACCACAAAAATTTATGTTGTGTATATTCACCTGAGATATGCAACAACTATTGCACCTAATTCTAGTGCAGTTTTACATTTTCAGAAAAGCCTGAAAAAAATATGTTTCAGTTCTACCATAAACCAGAAACTTCGCAGTACACTTAGATAGGCACCCGTTTGACTTTGATTAAATATGTTCGATTGTTTCTGACCCCTGTCTTTGTGCCGACAGCACATTAATCAAAATAATCCTTTTCGATAATTTCACTATTTGCATTACAGTTTTATCCAGAAAAACATGCGAAACTAATTGCAATGTACTGATTTTTTCAGTGACCGAAAAGTCACTGCTATCCTAGGTTTAAATCTGGGAAAACCCACAGTTTCAATAATCATGCTGGCAAGCAACAACAATTTGACCTTGTTCTGATACTATCATATAAAATGGATTATATATTACCGTGCATTTTACAAAAACGCAGTGAACTTTAGGTCAAAATGCGATAAAACAGGCCTATAATGTATATGCATATAAAAAACACTGCTCCTATGTATATCTGTATAAATATTAGAATAAAAAGTACTTTTCCTAGATTCAGTACCCAATTGAGGCTGGTTCCTTTGCGCAGAAAGGTCATTGATTAAATAAACCAATTTTGGACACAAATATGGGACCTCTAAAAATTGTTTTCGTGCTTTGTGTGCTGACTCTTTATACCCGCGGGGCTCCAGTCCCACAAGATGACCATGCAATCGTAAGTAGTAGAAACTTTAAAACACTTTTATTCGGCTGCTTGACTTCAGATGCCACCGCCCATTAGTAATGATGGCAAAGCAAATCACCGATCTAGGCGCCAGGCAGCACCTCAGTGGCAGCCAGATGCCCCTAAAAAGCCGAGCCAGGCAGAAGTAGTTCAGAATATATTCAATGTAAAAAAGTAACTGGCGGAGGACTTCACCAATGTAACTCACAATTTATTTTTTAGATTCCCATTTCTGTTTTGCAAGCAGTAAGCAAGTTGGTGAGCATTCTACCCCCAGGCCCCCCCAAGGGTGCCCCGAAGCGCTGTGGCTATAATTGTTAGAGGGCAGAGTTTCAGTAGAAAATTAAGTACAAAAAATTGCCAAACTATACCGGATATTACATGTTTCTAAATAGCAGCTTTATGTGTTTTCATGTTCTGTTTAACCGTTTGGTAAAACATTAAGGATTAACTAGAATTTGGGGTTGGTTTTCTACATGTGTGTAGTAAGCCAACCAGCTAAATCGAGAGTCAGTTTTTTTTTCGTCTCATTTCCTTGCCTTGGCAACGATGTTATTCAGCTTTTTAAAGTGCCTGGAATACGCATAGCATTAAAGCCATTTTGTGGAAGAAAAATTGTGCAAAGTTTGCGGGAAAGGGTTGAAAAGGATCAATTGCTCCACATAAGAAAGGCACAATCAGCGAAAAATGTGTGAGATTCTCTGAAATAGGGAAACAAATTATAAGTCGGACTGTTCCTGAGGACATGGAAGCAAATCGTAATAGATTCTGTAATCACGTAAGTCAACTTTCAGCTCTTGTGGAGGCTTTGGCGGGTGGCTAATTTAAGCGCTACTCTTCAGTACCAGTCTTCAAGCTATCCTTAGGGTATTCCAGAGGAGGCCCAAAGTGGGCATTCCCTATTTTAAATGTACATGGCATTCGGCTCATTTCATCAGGAAGTCTATGCAAGATTTAAATTTAGGAAATCCGACAATTTAAATAATCATGCTGGCTGGCGAACAACAACAGTTCGACCGCGTTATTGGACACTATCATATAAATTGTATTACATATAAATATAGTGTAATGCGGGGTGAATGACTTATTTGAAGGGAGTGCAAAAATATGAAAATTTCTAGAATACCCATATTAACGGTTGAAAATAGAATTTCAGCTTTGAAAAATATATTATTTTGAAATCGTGCCATGTTTGATTGGAACCCTATTGAAATACTTAACCAGTAGACACGAAAAAAGAGATCTTTGCTTCAAATTAAGAACATTTTTTAAACCAGAAAAGTCTTTTTATGCAATTTTTTGATAAAAATTCAGCTTTGGTCAATAGTTGCTAACAACGATTTGTCTTTAGTCTGATGTGAACTTTGGGTCAAAGTGCAATAAAAGCGGCCTGGTGTACCCAATTGGAAATCCTACTTATACAGGGTGATTGAAAATTGGCCGCAATTTTTTTGAGGTGTTGTCTTGCGGTGTTTTAGGAGTACAGCAAAAATGGTAAAAACATTAATTGTTATTAAAAACTGAGAAATTTTCAAAAACCTTTACTACGAAAAGGGCAACAATGTTTTTCAAGGTAATTTGCCTAACTAACATTAAGTAAATATCTGTTGCTTCGTAATTATTTAAAACTCCGGTAACCATGGCTAAATAGAGAAAGTGACAATAACATAGACAAGAATAAACGGTAAATTCAACATGTATCGTTGAATGGCGGAACCTATTTCGAATCTCGAATTATTAATTTGTCTATTAAATTAAATTTTACAAATTCCAAAAACATAAATTTGAGTCTATAACTCCAAACAAGTGCATGAGTTATTATCATGCACTCTTCTCGAGCAGCATCTCGTATTCGGTTAATTAACTCTGCTCAATTTAAACCGGTGTTCAGTAATCCATTGGTTTAATGTGATCCTACATACGTGGTAGGAATGTAGCCGATATTTATTTGGTGCCTGGGCAAGTGTCAGTTGTTGTGCTATGTTCTGAGTGCACCTGGAAGGCTCTTCTGCAATTACGTCCAATGCTTTTTCCTCTGTGACTGGAACCTAAAAATCGATTGTCGTCCACTATCTTTCTGGAACCACTCCCCTCGTCCTTTGTTGGCGTGAATTTTTTCAACTTCTGCTATGTTACTGTAGCATTTCCCCTGAACTAATTGCATATCCGCAAATTCGTGAAAGGAAATTTAAAGTAAGTCATAGTTTGATAAATTATTGTTATTATTGACAAGGGCTATCCACCTGTAAATATCTGTCAATGACAAAAAACTTTTTTGATATTGAAATTTTTTGTAATTTGAAGCAAAGATCGTAATTTTTCGTTTTGAATGCTTAAGTATTCCAATATGCTCTCAACTAAACATGGAACACTTTCAAAATAATGCTTAATAACAAAGTTGAAATTCGATTTTCAACTGTTAATATCTTCTAGAAATTATCGAAAAAAAAAATTCAATATTTTTCTCGCACCTTCCAAGTGAGCCCGTATTACCCCTTAACAGAAATGCCGCTAATTTGGAATTACCTTGTATACCATACATAATTGCACAATTATTAGAATAAAATAATAAAAGTACTTTTTTAGATTCGATATCCAGTTGATACTTATTTGTTCTCGCAGAGAGGAGGTAAAATAAATAACTGGATTTTTGAGTGAAAATGGCACTCTTGAAAATTGCTTTCATACTTTGTGGGTTGACTGTTTCTTCTAGCGGAGCTCTAACTTTACAAGATGGGCATGCTGAGGCGAGTGCCTACTAGAAACATTTAAAGTAGAATGCCTCTGCCAAAACACCCTTTGGACAAAATGGGAAGCATTTAGAGCTTTCTTCATCCCTGTGGCAACGACCATAACGACGTGTTTCCCACAAGAAATGCAGCAGTGGGAAATGCCCCGTATACGAGTCGCCGCTCGAGAAGAGTGCGTAATAAGGTGATCATAGAAGGTGATGTAAGAACTAACGCCAACAAAGGGCTGGAAGACACTGGAAGGGACGACAATAGATGTCCGAGACACAGGGATCGGAGATAACTGCATAACAACTAACACTTTCCGAGGCACCAAATACCAAGGAAGGTCTACGCTCCTACCACGCATGTGAGATAAACAGGGCGCATTACACATTAAATCTCTGGTTTACTAAGCATCGGTGCAAATTGAGCACGAGTTACTTATGCGAATAAGAGAAACTGTTCAAGATGCGAACTAAGACTGCCGCCGAGAGTGTACAGTAAAGTGATCGGGCACAAACATGTTTGGAGTTAAACGAGTTGAACTTTAACAAGTTCATGTGATTTAACAACTTAAATTAATTTTATTTGTGGTTTGTGGTGTTGCCTTCTTAGTATAGAACATCCCCTTAAAATAGATATATTCTATGTATATATGAAGGATTCAGGTACACCACAAAAATGTTGCCCGCACTGACAATAAATAGTTACAGGGTGATGTTAATCTCAAAATATTTAATTCCCACTTGTTCATATTTCAATTGCCACTTCAGTTTGAAATAGTTAAGAAGTAACAACTATTTATGTAATGTTAATTAGGCAGATTACCTTGAAAAACTTTGTTGCCATCCTTCTGAACTAGTTTTTTGCAAATATATCAGTTATTAATACCTATTAATTTATTTGTCTATTTTTCTTGTACTCCCAAAATACCCCCAGACAACACCCTAATAGGAATGACGTCAATCTTGTCAATCAGCCTATATAATATAAAATCCTCCCCTTTGGATTTTGGCCTTTGCAAAATTCTGTGAACCCTTTATTATGTTTTTTAACGTTTCGTCACGTTTTCATGCCAAGTTTGAGAAAATTGGGGTTTTAAGTTTTCGAAGGGCTTCAATTTTATGTTCACCTTTACGTCGGTTTTGTTGTTCTTAAATTAAAAGCTTAAAACATGATGGAAATCCAAAGTAGTTTTGTAATAGGTATTAACAATTTTCATTAGGCACTGGGTAGGAATTGGATATTTTTCTTAGTCAGGGATCTCACAATAATGAAACGCTTTCTCTAACCTTTCTCTAGTAATTCAAATCGCATAGGGCAACTAAGTATTTTTGGGCCAATATCTCGAAGGGATTATTAAAAATGCCGAAACCATGTCTACTACTGTCCCAAATCGTGTTTAAAATAGAATCGTTACTGGTTCTTGGCCAGTTCCTGTTCTGAATCTAGATATTTTCTGGTCGTCTCAATTTATTTCACTGTAATGAAATTAATTTTATCTACAACCATATACAGGGTGATTCAAAATTGGCGTAATTCCTTTTAAGGGCTAATAGGGGCTCACTTATAGGGTTCCATTATTTCTAGAATTATTCATATACATATTATTATATTAT